GTATAGGCACACCTCGTTTTATTGCACTTTGCTTTATTACGCTTCACAGATGTTGCATTTTTTTTTTTTTTACAAACTGAAGGCAAGACCCCCACCAGCAAAAAGGTTATGACCTGCTTTCTTGTGCACGGTCTGAAACAGAACCCACAATATCTTTGCGGTATTGTGGAGGCAGACACAACCCAGACCCGCAAGAGGGGAGGGCAGGTCCAGAGAAAACACCAGTCCTCATGGGCTGATGGCCTAAATTGAGTATGTCCTCTTTAAGCACATACATGATTATTGCAAATGCAAAGTTCAAAGGTGAAACTTGGGACAATTTGCTGCTTAACCCTGACCTTGAGTTGCCCACAAGCAGCTTGACCTCTGGGGGAAGGAGTGGCAGAAGGGGTTCCATAAGCCACCGGGAAAACGAGAAGCATTATTTTGAATCAACAGTACGTCGACATTAAAGTAAAAGTTTCAAAGACCATATTATGAAACAAAATGGGAAACTGACATGACTTGACAAACCATTCAGTGGTAGGTTTGTGCCTACCTCCAAGCCACAGTCTTCACGAGACGGGGCGGGGGAGTGGGTTGGGGGGAGACTAGTCACACAGGGCCTGACCCTCTGGCCTGGGGGTTCAGCAGGGCTGCCTCAGAGCAGCACTGCAGTCACACTCTGTGGTCAGAGAACAGCACACAGAGAATCCTTCCTACGGTTTGTACCTGCCGGGGCCTGACCAGTTTCTGGACAGGCAGGTTTAGGAAAAACCACAGCCAACATACAACAAATGCACATTTCTAGCCAGTCCTGGGAGCCTCCCTCCTCCCCGTGGGTAAAAGGAACTGCGGTCTTGTGCAGCTGTCCTGAGTTTGCCCAGGGCCAGGTTGATCTTGTTTTATTTTTTGTTTTGTTTTTTAATATATTTTATTTTATTTTTTTACAGAGAGGAAGGGAGAGGGATAGAGAGTTAGAAACATCGATGAGAGAGAAACACCGATCAGCTGCCTCCTGCACACTCCCCACTGGGGTTGTGCCCGCAACCAAGGTACATGCCCTTGTCTGGAATCGAACCTGGGACCCTTGAGTCCGCAGGCCGAAGCTCTATCCACTGATCCAAACCGGTTAGGGCTGATCTTGTTTTATTTTGAGAGTATGTTTATGAAAGCTGGGGACAGTGAGACAAACAGGGCTTAGGACGGCAGAGGCAACAGGAGAGCCTGGGCGGGCTGCT